AATTTTGGAACATTGGTTGGAATGGAAGATTCCAAATGGATTGAAATGTAGTAAAAGTGGAGTATCTCTTGAAACAGTTGCATCAGTTAGAATAGTATGGAATTTAATGTTTATTTCTGCTTATTTCTGTAATTTTAAAATTTCAAAATATTCAAAAACCCACATCAAAATCTAGATATCCCTAATTGTGATTTTTTTCTGTGTATGTTTCCAGTCCCCCAAAATAGGAGATACACTTTTCAAATATTTATATATTTTGTGCCCATTTTTCATCTCATGCATATTTTGTATATAGTTTTTTTTTACTGCAGTGCATTGCAATGTCTAAAGGTCTTTTAGTTTTTAATATGCATAGAGTTTTTGTATGGGATGCTATTTCAGTTTCAGTTCACAAGTGTTCTCTATTGTACAGCATACAAACAGTTCAAGAAGTTAATTGGTTGGAGTGATCACATAATTATTTCTAAATAAAATATTTTTCTAAATAATTAATTAAATAACATTTTAAAATAATTATATAAATAAATTTTCTAATTTTCTAAATACTTATTTCTAAATAATGTATAATCTCACCATATTTCTTTCCATGTGGCTTGCATACTAGGGGGGGAACGCTCAGATCACATGGAAAATATTAATTTATGGGGTTTGTCTCCATATTGTATAGTTTCAATAAGCTCCATACTAAAGAATATATAGTATACAAGTTCCACTAATAGGAATCTGGTCTGTTTAAGCTGACTTAATGTAAATGCAACTAGACAAAAAAAAAATACTTCTTGACTTTTAACTAGAGATGGGTAAATCTGTCACTTATGGATTCTTGGTTTCTCATTTTTCCAACTAAAATGTTCATGCTTCTATTTCACATACAATATAAAATTTATCACATAATCAACAGGTCATTATAAAATTGTACATGGAATATTTAATATTTTTAGATTGTACATGATAAACATGATAAATATTTTGTGTGTATTTTTCTAATAGATGCATTTTGCATGTATTTTGCCCAACTATATACAAATGTGTTTTGCTAATAGATGTATTTTAATTTGAAATACTACACTAAAAAAGTAAAAAATTCAAAGCAATTTTTCAAATCAGGTGTTGCTTCAAAATGCAAAATAATGCTGCAACTATAGAATAAATATTTCAAGTGAATAAAAAATGTATTTTAAATTAATTGATAAAAATAAATTGGTTAACTGGTTGCAACAAAATATATTTCTGATATATTATAAAAAATAAATAAAAATATATTTGTGAACCATTTTTTTCAAACCTTAATACATTTAAATGTAATTTAACCAATCAACCCAATTAAAGCTAGTATCTCTAATACTTATGTACATATGACATTAACTTAAATGTCATCTATTGAACCACTGTGGTGATGTTAAATGATATTCCAACTTAAATTATAGAATGGGAAAAACTATCAAGGAATAATAAGAATAACTAAAAGCATCATCATAAGTTATAACTAACTAATCCTACCTGTAATATTTATCTTTATCCCATTTCTCTCTATATCCCTTGATTCTCTATTTCATTATTATTACAGTGGTGAGTCTTTTGGAGAAGCAGTTCACACTGTTCCAACATGTGACATTTGTCATTCCAGACCTATAGTTTCACATTTTTTCAGAGCAAGAGAGCTGGTTAACAAAAACCTCAGAAATATTAAGCGTGACCTGAATGAACGACACTGTTTCCTGTAACACCAAATGATGTGGTCACCAAAGGAATGGAAGACGGAAAAAGAGAACCTGCTAATGGTCTGATATGAATCTCCAATCAAGCATGGGAGCCACATTTGAATTCAATGCTACATGCACCTCCCTATCTTCCCCCAGTGTTCTCAGCCCTGTGGTCACAAATGTTAAAATGAGTGACGAATTCCATAGGAGCAGTCAAACAAAGGTTAGTGTTAGGTAATTAAACATCTTAGTATGTAAGTAATATGGAAAATCCCCATATTCTCTCTTCCAATAGACCAGTTAAATTTGATATAGACAAGTTTGATATAGCCACATAGCTACCCTGAATTTGGGCAACATTTTTTTTAATCTGTCATTTATGATTTAAAAAATGAGTAGGTTTCTTTTCAATAATATTAATAATTCCAACTGTTGTGTTATTTTTGATACAATATTATGATCAGAGATTTCTTTACTACTTGAAATATTGATAAATAATTGATACTACCTCAAAATACCCTATTTGCCAAATTTCAAATATGAATTTTGAAGTACTGCATTGAACAAAGGCCTGTGATTTTTTAATCCATATTTCTGCAATTTTTTAATCAATTTTTTATCATAAACTAGAAAACTATAAAATATTAACAAATGCTAAATGCAATTGTACATCAACCATTATTTTTAGTCCAGTAAGGAAAAAACGTGCATGAAGGAGAAAGATGGTTAAGAAGATTGATAAATAAATAAACAAACAAATATAAAATGACTATATCCTTTGCCAAAAATTCTCACTGTAGTGGTAGCAGACCACAATAAAAGCCATTTGAACTGGGTTGCCATTTTGGAGCAGTCTATGCCTTAAGACAGACACAGTTGTTTTTTAAATGCCATTCCTTCAGTGATACAATTGAGAGAAACCGGCAATAAAATCACAAGTTGCAATCATGTGATGCCTCGCTTAATGACCTTGGGTAATTCACTTAATAACCGTGGAGAAAATGAGATTTGCAGTCCATTGCAGTGACACGATAATTTACTTAACAACCTCATCATTTAGCAATAGTATTGCTTTCGGGTTGATTGTGGTCATTAAGTGAGGACTACCTCTATGATATTTAAATTCCCATATTATATTCATTTAATCACATAGTTCCATCACTCTTCCTTACAGCAAAAGGGAAATAAGATTCCCAACAAGACTGTTCCAACACAGCAATTAAGAATTCCCAACTGCTCACCAGCTTCACTGAGGCTAGCATTCTGCAGGTATGTCCGACATCTTTCTTTGTGTTCCTCTAATGAACTTCTCTGCTTATAACTCCGTCCACAGAATTCACACTTGAATGGTTTCTCCACTGGAAATGAGTATTTGGTTTATAGATGTTATGTAATAAATATGATATCATTTTAACATATCAAGTACTTCAAATCATGACCTGTTAATCCCCAGAACAGCCCTGCCAGGTTAAATAACTAATAGGCTTAAGACTGAAATAATGAAAGGTGCCCTAAACTGGGAATGTTTGATTTCCTAATCTAAATATATCTGATTAACAGAAGGAAGAAGCTTTTTTGCTTTTCTCTGGATAATGCTGCACAAGAAAGGTATTTTAGTCTATAAAAGCCATGGTCTCATGAATGTATGTGGAGGAATTGGGTGCGTGTGAGAGAGAGTAATGATATCACAGGCAATTACTTAATTGACAACATTTGTACAATGACATCATGACGCATAAGACCTCATTTTGACTTGAAGAAGTTGGCTCTTTCTGAACCTTTGTATTTCCATGCTGTCAGCAATGGAAACCTTAGCTCATTTATACAATATATGATTCATCAGTGAGGTACTGGAAACCACTGCAAAGCTAGAGATTTGCTTTGCTTTGCTTTGCTTTGCTTTGCTTTACTTTTGGATGAACTGCAACTCTGTTTCCATGCTAATAAGACCTGTTGCTTAATGCCTCCTCATGGTTCCTGAACTTTAGGTCCCATTAAGGAGATACCAGAATGACTCCTCTGCAGCTATATCTCAGCTGTCCAGATATAAAGTGCAGAGCATTAGATTGTTTTGTCAGTGTCCTGTATGCCTCCATGTTGGATAAACTAGCAGTGAGAGGGGCTACTAATATTCCTTCCTTCCTTCCTTCCTTCCTTCCCTCCCTCCCTCTCTTCCTCCTTCCTCCCTTCCTTGTGGGAGAGGGCTGCAAAGGCCTCAGTAGCTAGAGGAGCTGTTGCAGCACAAACTATTGTTCTGATTTTCATTTCTTTTTAGTATTGCGAGCCACAAATCCTGAAATAATAAAAACAACAACAACAACAATAACAACAACAACAATAATAAATTATCTTTAGACTACCTCTGAGAATTTGACAAGAAAAAAACAGCAGCATTGAAGTAGTGCCACCAGTATTCTCAACCTTTCTTCGGGGTATTGACTAGTTTTCTTTGTAATTCTTTATTTCTTAGCTCTTAATATAAAATAAAGTCTTCTCTCCCTGGATCTTTTATACCAGGGGTGTCAAGCTCATGTTGTCACGGTGGCATCATGTGACATATTGGGACTTTTCCCCCCTTTGCTCAACTGAGCATGGGCATGGCCAGCGCGCGATGTATATGGCCCATGGGCCAGGAGTTTGACAGCCCTGTTTTATACTGTTTGTTTATTTATTTACTGTATTTTTCCTATTTCTTAACTGTCCATTTCCCTCAGAATTGTTGTTCCTTACTTGCTGCAATAACAAAATTAGATTGGTTTTATCACATTGATCATTCCGATGTAATTAATGAATTCTTATAGAGGCTGTGCTTGTAAAATGATTTTTCATGGTTAATATGAAAGAGAATTTGATCATTGTTAAGGAAACTGAACTAATTTCCACTTCTCAGCTTACAATATGGACTTGCAAGTCTATATGGAGAAATATATTATCTCAAATAACATAATTTTCTGATCCATGTTGTAATCTGAGAAGGGTAAACAAATACATGTATAGAATTGCAGAATATGCCCACACAGAGAGAGACAAAAACATGGCAAGGGAAAATTACCTCCAATAACAAAAGAAGAAAATAAATGAAATTTTATGCATGAAAAATTACAAAATTATGCAGGAATTGGATAGAGCTATCATGAAATTGGATATATATGATAATGATGTAGATTATATAAAGACTTACTTTTTCATTTATGGTTTTAAAACAGGCAATAATAATAATAAAGAATTGAAATACAGCTGATAAAAACAGAAATAAAGGAACTAAGGCAATGAATCTTAAGAGAAATATACACTTACCAGAATGTGTCCTTAAGTGACCTGTGAGCGCGTCTCTTCTTTGACAAGCATAGCTACAAAGATGACATTTGAATGGCTTTTCCCCAGTGTGAAGTTTAACATGGCGGAGAAGATTTCCTTTCTGAGTAAATGAGGCTCCACACTGATTACAATGGAAAGGGCGCTCACCTTAAAAACAGCATGAGCAGTGGAGTGATTATTACAGCACTATGGTCTTAGCTAAAGATAAATCCAAATTATTCTGCCATAACAACCATGGGGTTGATTTATTCCATTAAGCCTTCTACTAACCTGAGCTGTTTCTGATTGTATTGCAGTTTCCCTCAGTTGCCAATAGCTTTCTTTATCAAAACAATTTCCTTTTAGAGTGCATAAGAGTAACAACATATTCATAGTACCCTCCTCCCCAACATATATACATATGCATGCCCCCTAAGTTGTGCCACTCTATGTTGCTTGATCTGGGTTCTGCTCAATTTAATGCATTTCAGTGGCTAATGGAACAACCTCAGATGAAATATTTTCAAATGAGATCTTTCTTCTGAATGAATGATAATTACCAGTATGGCTGCGTTTGTGAACCACGAGAACGTTGAGGCTGACACAGCCCAATCCACAGATGTCACACTTCAGTTTTGCAGTACTTGATTTGACAAGGTCACATGGATCAGAATGCCTCTCCAGTTCCATAGGATCATAGTCTCCATACTCTGGCCTGCAGTTATAAAGGATCCTGGGTTCTTCTCCAATTTCTACCAGCTCAGACTTCAAAATTCCATCTTGTTTTTCATCATAGTCACATTTGGTCTTAAGCATGCTGTCTTCTGGAAATAACATCAACATGGTCCCAAAATAAAATATCAATATAAATCTTAACAGAATGAAGAGAATTATTATTATTATTAGTATTATTATTATTGTTGTTGTTGTTATTGTTATTTAACATTTAGTGAGATTCACAGCCTTTGGGGCTGGTTGGTAGCTCAACAGCGCGAGTCCTAACCAAGGACATTGGTTGTTTATTATTATTATTATTATTATTATTATTATTATTATTATTATTATTATTATTATTATTATTATTATTAT